ATATATATATGAACATGAAAGAAGGAGCAAAAAACACCAGAGCGCCCACCAACCACCCACGAATGGTAAGTACTTGGGTCTCCTGCGGGTGACCACGAAGCGCAACCGCTACACAATAGACGCCCGTGTATCTGGCCTGGTCGAGAAGCACACATTAAACAGGGTGTCACAGAGCCAGAAACACAAACACAAGACAAGGGACACACACACGCACACACACTACATACATGTACACAAAAACTCACACTCTTCACGAATACGAGAAACACATAGCATCCACCCCCCCCCCCCCTCCCCACACACACTCAAATGCAAACAAACACAATTATAATACTCACATTCACAAACATAAAACGCAGATACCCAACCACCGCCAACCCTGCACCAACACACACACGCACATATACAAACACTCTTCCTCCAACAAAGGTTAATTGATGCACTAGCAAGTACGCTAACATCAGTGTAGTCAACCCCATTCCTTCAAAATGGTGGCGTCAGTGGCCTTGCAGTTAGAGTAAGGCTCTCAGACTCGCAACCGTAAGGCCATGGGTTCGAATCCCGTCAGGGGCCCAACGTTGTGTCCTTAGGAAAGGCAGTATACACGAATTTTCCTCACTTCACCCAGGTGGGAATGGGTACCCAGCTATAGACAGTGAAAGATCTTGTCAGTTTGTTAGTGTTTGAGTTTGAGCGCTTAATCAGCAGCTTGCATTGTATGCTTCCCGGGAAGCTGAGAATGTTTCTGAGTGTTCTATGGTCTCCTGGGGTAATAATCTATGCTTGTAGTGTAAATCACATAGAGCTTGCTGTCGAGCGGGGATAATATGCCCTATACATATGCTATTTATCATTATTATTTTAAAAATATCTCACGTTGTCCCCTATTATATTATATGTGCGTATACATGTTTAGACAATAAAAAAGAAACTGACAAAAATGTAGAAAATTGTATTGTTTGTTTTAATTATAATAATAATAATAATAATAATGAAGATCATTTCTATAGCGCCCACTCCCGTGTAAACACAGCTTTAGGCGTTTTACATAAATGCATGTACGAACAATATTCATGCACAAAATTAGACTTTTATGGCACTTACAACACAAAGGGTCCCACATCATGTATAGATTATATCGAAGCACTGAAGATTAGGGGTGATACAACAGAGGAACACCATACAAAGAAAAGAAGGAGAGAGAGAGAGAGAGGCAAGGACAACAGATGTTTGATAGGAGGAAAGAAGTAGGAGCAAACCAATCAAGGGCACCGGTCAACCACAAACATGAAACATTTGATATTCTGTCCCCGTGGTTTTAGGCACCCCGCATAATTTTGCAAAATTTGATCTTTTTTTCTCTCTTAATTTCTCATTATTTTCCTTTAACTTTAACAATCTTTGTTAAAATTAACAGAATCGCATAATTTCACATTTTTGGGCTCAGTTTGCATAATTTCAGAATTTTTCTTGCATAAAACGACGGGGACAGGACATTGCTTCTCAGCATTATATATTTGTACACGCCTACATTAAAATTAAAGTTGTAAAAATGAGCATATCCAACAACCATGGGCTGAATACTGAGAAATGACCGGACACAATATCATCAGCAAGAATGCAAGATTTAATGCGATAGAAATTCCCGTAAAAGATAAAACAATTTGACACAACTGCAGCAAGAATGCAAGATTTAATACGATAGAAATTCCCGTAAAAGATCAAACAATTTGACACAACTGCAGCAAGAAAGCAAGATTTAATACGATAGAAATTCCCGTAAAAGATCAAACAATTTGACACAACTGCAGCAAGAATGCAAGATTTAATACGATAGAAATTCCTGTAAAAGATCAAACAATTTGACACAACTGCAGCGAGAACGCAAGATTTAATACGATAGAAATTCCTGTAAAAGATCAAACAATTTGACACAACTGCAGCGAGAAAGCAAAAGCTAACAAGACAAAAATTCCTGTAAAAGATAAAACAATTTGACATAATTCTAGCAAAAATGTAAGATTTATACAATTAAAATTCCCGTAAAAGATCAAACAATTTGACACAACTGCAGCAAGAATGCAAGATTTAATACGATAGAAATTCCCGTAAAAGATCAAACAATTTGACACAACAGCAGCGAGAACGCAAAAGCTAACAAGACAAAAATTCCTGTAAAAGATCAAACAATTTGACACAACTGCAGCGAGAAAGCAAAAGCTAACAAGACAAAAATTCCTGTAAAAGATACAATGTAAAACAGTATGACACAATTCTAGCAAGAATCTGAGATTTAGAAAATTAAAATTCCCCTAAAAGTAAAAGATAAAACAGTTTGACAAACAAGCATGCAATTAATAAGATAAAAATTCCTGTAAAATTTTTTATCAATTTGACACAACTGCACCAAGAATGCAAGATTTAATAAGATAGACATTTTTCTAAACCATACATTACATTACATGTAGAACTTTTATTCTCGTCATGGTTAAAGTTAAAGAGTTCAAGTTTATCAGCAAAGACCAAGGCCTTAATATGGATATCGGCCAAAAAGAGAGTATCGGATGATAAAAACGAGGAAAACGAAGAAGAACTTCATCATTGTTCCTATCATACTTTGGGGGCTCCAGTGGCTAAGTGAGTAGTGAGGTTAGACTCAGTGGATCAGATGGGTGGTCACTGGGGTGTGTCCTTGAGCAAGACCCGACAACCCTTGAGCAAGACACGACAACCCTAGATCTAGCTAAAAAAGAAACAACAGCAACAACAGAGAGCTGCACAGCAGCGACCAGCAATGGCATTGTAGTGAAATTACTTGTGTAATACATTATACAGCATGCATTTTCATTTAGCACCTCAAAAGGGAGCTAAAACTTTGCCTTCCTCCTCCAATGAAAATTTAATGACCACAGTTACAAAACAACTTATTGCAAATAAAGCAATATACATGGTTCACTACGGTTCATGAGCTTTACAGCACTAGCAATGACACAATTAGTTCATATAAGAGCCCAAGAGTGGGTGTTATCAGAGAGGAACATACTACCAACAACAACAACAAAAAAGAGAGAATAAGGAAAGATAAGAATGACAGATTTTTTACAGATAGGAAAAAGAAAGGAGCAAACCACACCAGAGCACCTGCAGACCACCCATCAATATGGTCCACAAGTCACAAAATAGTTAAATAAAAAAAATAAAAATAATGTTTCCCTTTTTGGACCACCAAGGGATCTTTAACATGCACAACTTGCACACGGGACCTCTGAGATTTCTCGCCCTTATCTGAGAAGGCTAGGTGTTAGATCTTACCTACCATAAGATCAGGGGTATGGCTAAAAGACAGCAGTAAGAAGGTGCCAAAGCATAGCAGTAGAAAAGCGACAGAACATTGTTAGAGAGCAGGAAAGTATGCGCGAAAGGAGGACATTTTCTGTCGCTATCCAGATTTGAACCCGCGGGACCTACTGATTGAGAGGATAACACATTCACCTCTAGATCACGAGCGCCCCATAAGCAGACAATAATACTCTGGGTAAATGGACAACTGAAAAGAACAACAATAAACACAGGCCAGTAGTTTTGTGTCTCCATCGACAAAATTGAGACCAAACAGAAGACGGGCATCCAATTCTGCCTGTCACTACAGGCCAGCCCGGGCTAAGAGGGCTACAGCGTCCTAGCAGAAAGACCGAGATCAATCGTTAAAAATTCTCCCAACTCAGGTCTCAAGCGCGCGATAGCGAAGTGCTGAACTGCTACACTAAAGATGCTGGTTGTCAAGGTCGTCTGAGCGGGAAGCAAAACTTTTGAGCTGTAAAGCAAATGTGCCACGACGCTGTGGAATCAGACACTCGTCAATTTTGGGGCATGTGGAGTTATTAAGTATCATGTGAAAGCTTGTTTGTTTGTTTGTCTCGACTTCGGTAAGAAAATATCCAAATAACTTGAGATATTGGCGAATGACGGAGGTGGGTCACCTGGTTTCAGAGGTAAATTAAGCGAGAAAATGACCGCCAGAGTTTGGTGATTTCCATAGATTGAGAGTCCTTGGAAACAGAAAAATTTCAATTTTTGTTCCTTTAATCAACATATTTCACTAAAATCCAGAACATAGAAATGTGTTATTAAATTATTTAAATAGACAAAAAAGGTGTTGAGCCAAAAAAACACAATTTTGATTTTTTTAAATGCCAAACTGGCAGAAAATGTCGTCATTTTTTTCGATTCCATTATTTTGACGAGTGCCTGATTTCACCGCGCTGCCTCACAAATTATCCGAGCATCGTATCTGACTTGTGCTTTGAGGCAACATGACCCTGTAACGAACACTTGTGGCTAAAGCTTTGCGAGCAATGGGGGCAGCTAAATGGTTTCTCTTTCGTGTGAGTCCTCATGTGCACCGACAAATTATATCCCTGTGAAAAACATTTCTTACACACAGAGCACTGGTAGGGTCTGCTGGCAATGTGATGGTACTCGTGACGTCTCAAGAGAGAGGAAAGAGAAAAGGCCTTGCCACAGATTTTACACGCGTAGGGTTTGGCTCGGTGCACTCTGGCATGGTGACTGTTGACAGCGTGTTCGTTAGCAAACATCTTGCCGCACTGGTCACAAGGAATCTGCTCGGTGACACCCTTGTCGGTGCTATGGCCTTGCATGTGTGAGTCAAAACCGGGCTTGGATAGCATGACCTTTGCGCATATGTGACAGACATATTTGCGCCCCTGTTCAACCCGTTTGTGTATCTCCATATGTTTCACGAGTTTCTTTCTATCGGCAAATACGATAATGCACTTCGGACACTGCTCCAACAATTTGTTGCCTTCGCTGTCCACCGCGTGTAGATGTCTATCCCGCCAGTGAAGGTTTAAGATACCCAAGCTGGGAAACAACTCCTTGCAAACAAAGCAAAATGTTCCGTGAGTCTTCGAATGTTTTCGACAGGCTACAGGAGTATTAGAAATAATTCCGCAATACTTGCACGTCAGTTCATCTTCGTGTTTCTCCAGGTAGTGTCTCCTCAAGGTCAAAACACTGGGGAATTTGTCCTCACAGAGAGAACAAGTAAATTTCAGTTTGGGAATCTCAAGCGTGGTTTCCTGCGCTGAACGCCTGTCCTCACCTGACTCGAGAAGTCCCTTGTTAATTTCACCCCTGACAGGTTTTTTATTTTCTAGAAAGTTCTGTCTGTATACTTCCACAGGAATCTCTCCTCCATACTCTTCTCTCAGATGCCACTTGAGGTGCCGATCATATCCAGACTGAGTTCGGAAGGAGTCAGGACAGCGGCCACACTCAAACGCTTCCGTGTCATCGGTGTCACCATCCTCCGACAAATCCTCACCGCTGTCTCCCATATTCTCATTCTTTGAAGAATATTCCCGAATTAGCTTCTTGCTATCCCTGCGGTTGGGATGTTTCTTTTCCAAATGGCTCATGAACTTGGCCCTGCTCGGCAGAGGCAGGTCACAGTAGTGGCAGTAACACTCCTCCTCCTCTTCCTCCAGTTTGGATCGTCTTCTTTTCCTCCCGGGAGGCTCGTTACTTTTTTCTTTGCCGCACTCGTCCTGAGAAACGGCAAAAATTGGAAACTCTCCACCCTCTTCTGCAGGTCCATGCAACGGGCCACTCTCACTTATTAGGTCTCTCTCTAATCCAGAGATAGCATTCTCGATAACGAGACAGCTCGACTTGCCATCATCCGCCAGTTCCCGCTTCACGCGGGATGAAAAACCTGGCGGTCTGCTGGACCTGGGGGGACCACCAGCTGAGTCAACAGCCGTGTCCAGCGGATCAAACAAGACTTGGATGTGAACACTCTGCTCGAAAACCACCGTCATGATCTGACCAGAGTCAATTCTTACGATGATGCGCCCGCTCCTGTCAAATTTTTCAAAAACAAAGTCGTCCGGGTCGGAAGGGGAGGTTATCTTGGAGCTTGGATTCCGGGTATGGTTAGTAACGGTGCTGTTCTCTGACCCTGGAGCACGCTGGGACCTGACAAAAAACCCACAGAAAATAGAACATTAGACTGGACTCTGGACTGACCTGGTTTTTAATATAATAATGGATCTTTAACGTGCACAACTTGCACACCGGACCTCTGAGATTTTTTCGCCCTTTTCTGAAAGGGGAAGGTGTTACACCTTACCTGCCCTAAGATCAGGGATGTGGGTAAAAAAGCACTATAAAAGGAGCCAGGAAGAGCAGTAGGAAGAGTCAGAAGTCCAGAGGAGGGGGCGAAGGTGGTGAGGAGGTGGGGGGGCAGAAAATGGAAATAAAAAGCAGATGACAGAGCATAATTAGAGAGCAGAGAAGGACGTGAAAGGAGATAATTTTAGAAAAGAAAATTTTCCCCGTCGCTGTCAGGTTTCAAACCGGGGACCTATTGAATGTGCGGCAAACACCATACCCCTAGACCACGAGAACCTAGAAAACAAAGGGATCAGATCTCACTGGAACAGAAATCTCCAAGCAAACTCCAATAACCCTTAACCCTCTGAGTCCGTAGCACCGGTACACCAGTGGGGCGCTGTGGCAACAATAATCCGTAGCACCGGTTCATCAGAGCATGGAATTAAAGAGCCCTCAATTACCGTGTTGTAAAAGGGAACAATTTTTTATGATTTAGAACGCTATTTTCTGTCAATATGCTAACTATTATAGGGTATTGACATTATATCTGCACCCTTTTACACATGTTTTGATCACATTCTGTGCTCTGTGTTGATTTTACGGAGTTTCTGTCACGATGAAGCGCTCTGTCTCCTCTAAACCCAGAAACCGAGGATTTGGGAAAAGTAAGGACATACTCTCAGGAAGCCAGACAGCTGCATAACAAGGAAAGCTTTGGATTGGGACCCACAGGGCTAGAGATCAAGAGGAAGACCCCGTGAAACCTGGAGAAGAATCACAGAAATTGATGTACAGAGAAGTGGGAAGACATGGAATAACATCAAGAGGCTAGCCCCGGACAGGGAAAGGTGGAAAGTGTTTGTTTGTGGCCTATACCCTGATCCAGGGTGGGAAAGGCAAAGATAATGAAGATGAGGACCCGGAGCCCAGGGCTCGAATGGTTAAGATGCAGTCACATTTATAACACAAAGTACCTGACTTAGTTTACGGTAAACAAAAGATCAAATCTCATTCAGAACAGATCTTTGAGTAAACTCTTAGAACCCATAAGATCAACTGTTTAACTCAGTGTAGGACTCCGCTAAACGCCACATTGCAGCTCTGGAAGAAAACTATTCTCGGTGACATTTTGCAAATTTTACAGGAGAAGGACAAAAATTTCTCATTTCAGCAGAATGCAATTCTAGGATCCGAAACTCACATGTTGGGTAGAAAAAAGCAAACACGGGCTCATTTTGTAAATCATTTTCTAATCAATTTCTGCCATTTTCTTTATATCAAACAAAGTGTCACTTAAAATACTTTTTTCTGAAAAAAAGTGTGAGGAAAACTATTCTAAAGCAGTACTTAGAACAATTTCATTTGTTTTAAAGCAGAGTCATTGGAAAAAAAAGTATTCTAACTTAGGCACTTACAACAGTTTTCTTCATTTTCTACCACCGGAAGCAATTTTTCAAAAGGGGAAAAGTATTTTAACTGCCACATAATATTTATATAATACTTTTCCTCAAACGATTTTCTCAAGTAGGAGACAGAACAATTTTTCTTTGGCCTTAACTCAGTCATTTTTAAAACTACGGCTCTGATGTTTTAACACAAGTTGCATCCCTTGGTGGAAGAAAAATCTCCACTTCGGCCAACATGCCACTTAGAATAGTTTTCCTAGAGACCCGCGATATGGAAAAGTGACGTGCGACGGGGGTCTTACACCGAGCAGTCAAGAAGCAGTCCCATAACACAAAGTACCTCTCTATGACACCATTATTCCCGTGGTCTCCAGTCTGATGATCTTGCTGCTGATTCGCTGCTGGCATCTCTGATTGAGCTGGACCAATCGCTGAAAAAAAGAAAACATTTTTTCCAGAATCAGGGATTTTACCCTTTGCTTGTTTGCCTGAGTAAAAGGAAGTCCATCGACACAACAACGGTTGCGTAGTACAGGGAAGAAGCAAGACGGACAGTCAAAAACCGCATGGGGGAAAGAAAAAGAAAAGAATTAGGATCCATCCACTAGTGCCTTCCAACCACCCGCATTTATTATCCTTGTTCAAAACAAGTGAGAGCAGCTGTAAAAAAAAAAAAAAAACAGGTTCCCGAGTTCGCATCCGGATAGCAGTAGTAGAAATTTTTCTACTTTAAATTGTCTCCTTTCACCTCCTTTCCTGCTCATCATCGCCCCCCCCCCCCCCC